TGGTCTAATATTCCCAGGATTAGTGAAGTTTGAGGCACAATTTAGATCTAAAAGCCTTTGGGCCTCTGGTAGTGAACAAGGAAGCATTGTAAATTTCAGTGAAGAATATCAATAAATGAAAACTAACCAACTTACTGACAATATTTTGTGGTTGTTAAAATGTTACTGATTAAAGCAACAGTTTTTAATGAGTATAATGCAAAGCTATCAGAAAGAAATACAATCTTCTTCCTATATAGATATCTGATCATTTATTTTATCTTTTCTATTCAAAGTTTCAAATTTTCGCAGTCATAAGAAAAAAAAATGAATCCAATTCCAGAACTTATTTTTCTTAACGAATTTTTCATGAACATTTCACATATGATTTCATCACCTTTATTCCATACTTTATGGTCAAATGATTACTTTAGTGAATAATACAGTTACATAGTGGATTTTTCAATGCTGAGGACATAATATATTTATGAACTTCACTATTCCTGTGACTATCACAATCTTAAAATGGCCTTGTCATGACCCTTTGTGGTTTCAAACATAGAGAACAGGGGTTGCCAGTGGGTTAACACAGTGTCTCTTGGATCATTGTAGGTAAGCCCACAGGAAGTGCAGCAGCTAAGGTTGCTCTGGCCACTTTTTGAGTCTGAGTACCTGACTCCCCTTAGTTCGCACAGTGGGAGTGTTGTTGACTGAGGGGGAAAGGGAATAACCCTTTACTATACAGGTGCATTAGTATTTATTATCTTTTCTCCCTAATATGAAGATTGAACAATAATTTTATCTTGAGAAACCCACCCACATTATCTTTCTAATTATTGTAGTAACTCTGACCAAATTTAAGGGGGGAGTCTATATATCTTTCATAAAATTAGTTTTATATCAAGGAAAGTGAATCAAGTTGCATATTGAAACTGGAAATGTTGGAAGACTAATCAGGATATCTATCTATGTACATCACGATACCGCTCCTGTTAGCTGTTAAACAGACACTTCACTCACCAAACCAGTTTAGCTAATCCTCCAAGAATTCCAGGGTAACCCAGACAGTATTAATCTTGAAGCTGATGGGATTAACAGTTCTGCCAAAATCATTCCTTTTCTATTATTTATTGTGAATTATCAGTGACTAGATCTTTTGCTTAGGACTAAACTCTCAGACATACTTTCCATCACACAGAGGTTTACCCATCCTATTATTAAACATATTCTGGACTATCTAAGTAAAAAAAAATCCACAATAAGGAGAATGAAATTTTTAAAACTAATTAAAATTTTTATCTCCTTTATATTTTCAATTTTAGGTATTTCCTTCAAAACTATTCCAAAGATAAGTTTCTTTTGTGTTTAATGATTCCTGAAGTCAGAGAAAGAAGTTTGTATAACTAACTTGATTCATTTATGTAATTTCAGAGTAGAGATATTGGGATTGAACCCAGTGCTTCTCTATCACTAAGCTCCATCCCCAGACCTTTTCCTTTTTATTTTTATTTAGTTATTTTTTTAATTTTGTGGCAAAGTCTTTCTACCTTGTCCAATCTAATGTCAAACTTGAGGTCCTCTTGCCTCAGCCTCGCTAACTGCTGGGATTGTAGGTGTGTGCCTTCACACCCAGCTTTGTTTATGTTATTTCTGCCAATTTATCATCTGTCTAGACTGATATTATATCTTTACATCATAGCATGAATAGATTAATATTTTGGTTAAGAAATATATCCTTTTTAAAATTAGATTGAGCTAAGCTTCTATGGAACTAGACACTAATAGCTTTTTTGTGTGTAAGCTTTGGAATTTTCTATAAAATTAATGTTAATGTGTGCCTAATTATCATCTATGCAGAGGCTCCTGAAAATTCTGATCTTTATTCTAATATTGAATTTTAAGGTCAATTGTATGACAGTATCTAAATAAAACTTTAGATGTTAGTTAGAATAATATATTTTACCAAAGAAAATATGATTTTGAAATAAAAAACTCTTTTCTTATTGTCTTGAAAATTACTTGTACATGATATTTTGTTTGTTCTTCAATAAATCAACATTCATAAATTATAAGGTCACCTGTAAATTCCTGATGGTATCTACCAAGAACATTTTAGACTTTTGTTTCTGTATTTTGATAAAAACTTAAAATATTGCAGTGGAACATTTCAGTTATTCAACCAAGAAGGATATTTGTTTGACTGGATATTCATTGGTAAACCCAAATGAAAATTATTCAGCTTTACAACCTAGTTCTGTAGATATGTTATGTAAAATATAAATAAATGAATCAAAGTTACATAGCTTTGCCATTCCCAGTGTTAGCATCAGTTTAACTTGGATTTGACGGAGATACATTGTAAAACCAAATTCTTTAAGCTAATAAAATATCTGACAAAAAATAATGGAACTCTCTGACCTAGGTAATTTCTATTGATATTCTCTTTTAAACCACTTTCTGTTATCTTATTTTTACCAGAGGAAAAAGTAATGAATACATATTTTTGTCCAGTAGCATGAATTTCTATACGAATATGTAATTGAAATCCTTATAGCTAATAAAACAAATTAAATACTTTATTAATTATTGTACAGATTAAATCATTGGGAAAATGTTTTTAAACTTAAGGTCTAATATAGTATATTAAACTCTGGTATACTAGAATCTTACATGTAAGTGGTCTAAATCTAAAACACTCGTTTCATATCAATAAGCAGCTTCCATTTCAGGATATGAGGCTATACTACCACTTTTTTCTAGTAAAAAGGAAGGTACAAATGGTAAGGGGGAGCCCAAATCCAGTCCTGTAATTGACAAAACCTAGAAATGTCACAATTCACTTTTGCTCCCATTCCAGTGAACATTATTTCTACTACAACACACGGCTGCAGCTTATTCTAAGGGAATCTCAAATTAGCAGTATTTGTGATTGGGTGGAGCAACTGACTGCACCCCACAATTGTCTACAGAAATTACTGAGATGCACCCTGATCTCTCTTATTTTCATATATCCCATTAAAGGTAAAACATGACACATCAGCAGTGAGTGTGCAGCCTTTGAAAGTTTTTAAAACATCTATACCTTGATACAATTTTGTAAAAAAAATTTTTTGCATGTATTCCAATGTTAACCCCTGTACTTGTCTTTACTTAACACTGTACTATGTGATTTGATGTTGAAAGAATTATTCCATAGCAGATGGACTATATTGATGCAGTTGGAACACATATACCAGGATAAATATTGTGTTGTTTTATAACTTTTAGCTATTGAAATGTAGATATTTACTACAAGCATTTCTACACTGGTACTTTTTGTAAGTGTTAATTATAATTACTTCTCAGAAATTCTTCTCTGTCTTTTGCATATCCGTGGCATTCTTTAAATAACCTGTTTTGAGTACATTTCTTGAATAAATACTCTCTTTTGAGTGTTGTAGTTCAGCATTATCCAATAGAACTTCCTGTGATGATGGAAACGTTCTAGAACTGAACCATCCATTATTGTACCTTCTAGCTATGTGAAGGTTTTGAGCACTTATTATGTCACTGATGTGGGTGAAGAACTAAATTTTAAACTTTATTACTTTTAAATGATTTTGAAGTTTAAATAGCCATTTGTTGGCCAGTAATTACCATATTGGATCTACAGTTCTAGTTACTCCCTGCTCCATCTACAAATTTATTTCAGCCACATCTCTTTTACCACATCATATTACTCCTGAAACATCCTCAAATGAACTTAAGAACTCAATTTGTATAGCCCTAGTGTTTTATTCTTTGAGTGAATAATTTTGTATTTTCAGTCTGTCTACTAGCTTTAACAGTCTAGTAATAATAACTATATAATATTTATTTATTGGATATATTATGTATTAGGCACTGTTCTGAGCACTTAATAAATCATTTCTTTGTCCCGAGAAATTTATATTGTAATAAAAATAACTTAGATTATAATTACTATCATTCTATAGATATATACTCGGGCACAAACACAGGTTAATTAATTTTTTAAAGATCTGAATAGCTAGTAAGTGACTGGACAAGGATGTAAACCCCAGGCAAACTGACTTCAAATACCAAATTCTCACTCCATTCTTTACTGTTTCATCAGGAGAGTGAGTTTTTATCAGTGGTTCTCTTTATTCAAAATACATCACAGACAGGGCCCCTGTGAGAGCCTTTTTTTTTACGCATAATCCAAAAAAATACATTGCCTCTGGCAAGAGGGAAGAAAAAAGTACAGATGGTTTCTCTTCCTTTTTTGTTCTATCAATTTTCTGAGAGAAATTTTGTTTGTAAAAAGATGATCCAAAATGTTCCCTAATTTATCTTAACTCATTGGGCACTAGGGTTTTATTTTATCAGGATGAGATTAAAAGATTAGTAAGTATAAGTGACAAAAAACAGGTGCTGCACATTTGCCTCTATTACTATAAAAAGACTATTCAGTTTCATTTCTCAGTAAACTCTTAAGAATTTTAAAGTAATCAAGATTGATTATTTTCAAAGAGCTATAACATTCAGCTTTAACTCAGGTTAATCATCTGTAAGTTAAAATTACTTAGAAGCATAGTGTCCATAATTAAGTAATCTTACCTTCTAATATTACAGAATAAGGATACCTCTAGGTGACATGAAATCTGTCATTTTAAGCATGCCCCCCAGCCTTTTCCAGATTGCTCATAAAATTTCTCATTCTCTAGAGAAATGTGATCTCTAAGAAATAAATGTCTCTGTCAAGTCACAAGTAATATGAGCACATGATGAAAAAAATGAAATTTTTGAGTCTCATAAGGGATATTGTAGTATTGTAAAATTGATTTTATTCCTTGTTATTTAAGTTCTCTTGGTCATTTTAAGATTTACCTCTGGATATAAAGGGAAGGTTATAATACCTTCTAGGGAGGTGGGGAACAGAGGCCTTTGGGGAGAAGGAGAATATTTTTTTTTCATATGAAATTCTTTGTCATAAAATGCTAATGTTGGTGTTCTTGTCTTTATGTCTATGCATTCTTTAGCTATGAGGATAACAGACCCTTCATCAAGTAAGAATGACCTGAATGGCTGATAAATTCCATTTATCAGTGTGGTCCCATGAACCAGCTGTCAGATCAGTACTGAAAAATCACTAGAGCTTCTGTCATTCACATTGAGGCAGAAGAGCAAACTGTGCAGGAAAATACTCTGGCATACAACTTATGTGCAGAATAAGTACACTGCAGGTGTATTGCCAAAAAAATAAATAAATTATTGCTCCACCTCTGTTAATTGGATATCACTTGAATTCAGTACCACAGTAATAGCATTTCCTGTGGGACAGACTTGTTTCATTTTGAATAGCTTTCTTTTACATTGTGATATGTTCCTCTGTGCTGCATATGTCTGCATTTCCGTTGTCTATTTGGGCATCATTCACATGAAATTACTTTTTTATAGTATATCTTCAAAATGATCTTATGGGTATGAAATTACCCATTGACTATTGCTTTTAATGATTTGCTATATTAAATTTTCAAAAAGGAAAAAAAAGTCTCCCACAAAAGTTAAATTTTACATATCCAAAATTATCCCTTTCAAATTTGACACCTGTAACTTGATTATTAATCTCATTGTTTATGAATATATTTAAGCTTCTGAAACACAGCTACAAGTCTGTAGTGGTCTATTAAATATAGGTATATATGTTAATTTGGGCACATTTTTCATATATGTTTTAAAATGACATGTCCTGCAAGAATAAACTACAATTTGGCAACCTATGGGCAACCTTGCTATAGACTTTCAGTTTGTTCTTCTGGTGAAGAGTCCTTTGTTTTCATTTTTCCCAATGCCATTTCACTTAATTCTTCATGCTTTTGCTTATTTTTTTGCTTTTGAAGTTGGAGATCATTGCAGTTTTACATCATATAGCCCTTGGCCCCATCACACGTTTTCTAGTGGATAATAGCTGACTTGAATATTTTTTCCTAACATCTTATTTCTAAATCTGAATAGCAACTTTGCCTTGATTTAATGGCAATTCTTTCCATTTTTCCTTTTTCCCATGTCTGTAGAAAGCGGAGAGCTTTTCCTTCAATGTTCCCGTATTTGTGAAGTCAGTAGTAGAATAAAATATTAACATCTAAGATGTTTCCTACTTAATATAAGAAAATAGACCACATGTAATAGAAAACTTCCTATAGGGATTCTTAATTAAAAAGTGTTAATGTCTAATATTAAATATTATCAGTTTAGAGGGCACTTAAATCTGAAATAGAGTGACTGATTGATGTGGGAGAAAAATAGTAAATACTTATTATCCTTTTTTAATATGACTTTGGGACCATGTAATTCTTTCTAAAAAAAACTTGGAACTCAAAATTATGGTAAAAGATATGCATATTTTCCACTTCTTTTTGCAAAGTTCCCATCCTCATAAATATTTCTTCCTTAGACAGTGTCAATGGAGGATTATAGTCTGCTGAAAAGAAACTTTAGTTTGCTCTGTTTAAGGAAGGCATGCTGGGAAAGAAAATGATGGGTTTATGAGTGCATAGCAATCTTGATTCCTTTGGTCCTGTTCTCCCATATGCTTAGAAGTTGAGAAGGATTCCATTTCCAGTTATTGGAGTCCCATCTATTAGAATAATTCATTTTATGTTAATAATAAATATATAGCCTACCACAAGTATATGAACTTATTCACCCACTTATTACTATTATAAATGGCAGCTTGGAAGAAACTAAGAGAATGGAATGAGAGTGAGAATTTGTCTTCCATGATCTACTACTCTTTTCATACCACTCCATCCCCATTCTCAGCTTCATCCTCTCCCTTGAGTTTACAGACACTTCCAAAAATGAAGATTCCCTGAGCCTTTAAGCTTCTTTTCAACAAAACTGCAAAATATCTTACTGGAAAAAAAAATTTAGTCCAACATAACCTAGAAGATAGTAATCCAAAGACTCAGTGAAAGTAAAGCCAGGGTGATTCCAGTAGAGTGGAACTGTTTTATTCCCATCCACTATATGGCACACTTATTCTGCATAGGTATAGAATTAAAAAAAAGAAAGAAAAGGTCTTTTTCAGTTCATATGTGTACTCTGAAAACTGGCTCCTTCTAATATGAGTTATGTTTTTGTCAGTCAACATAAAGTTTTTATGGAAAAAGAGGAAATTTGGAAAAATAGGGTAAAATTATTTCAGATGAAGCAATAACAGAGGGAGTTCAATCAAACAAATGTTATGCCAATGAGACCAGTGGAGACTAATATAACTTTACAGAATTCTCCCCCTTGCCATTCACCATAATTACATCTCCATACCATTTGCATATGTGCTGCAAATACATGAATAATTTATGGAACAAATCTGCTTTTGCTTAAATGAATTTCTGTGTTCATAACATTTTCATTCACATATATTTCCTCAATCTTGATAACTTGTAGCCCCATTAAAATCTCAAAGTACTTATACCACCTGTCTTACATTTTCTGTCAGTAAAACTTACCATAACATTTTTTTCAGTGTCAGTATTTTTGATATGATATGGTTGTGTTAAAGATCAATTATTTGATAATTCTAAATTTTCCTTTCTTTTTGCAGGTCATGGGTTATAGGTGCAATAGCTCTTCTCTGCCTGTTAGGATTGACCTGGGCCTTTGGACTCATGTATATTAATGAAAGCACAGTCATCATGGCGTATCTCTTCACCATTTTCAATTCTCTACAGGGAATGTTTATATTCATTTTCCATTGTGTCCTACAGAAGAAGGTAAGCTCGAATTCTTTTTTATTTAAACAATAAATGACATACATTAAATGATAGCAAAGCAACTCTAACATAATCTAATATATTATTCTTGATATGTCAGTCTGTAGTAAGTAAACATATTGCTTCATATTTTATATTAGTAAAAATAAAACAAATACAACATAAAACCATGATAGAGTTGGTGAGAGTGTTCAAGTAAAAAAAAAATGTGATTTGACCAATGCCCAAAGTTATTTTCTTATAGACTTACTTTTAGTCTTTAATCCATTAGCAGTCAGATAGAATTTATGCATTAGGAAGTAAATGTTTTCTAAAATGAGGGTAGGGTATCATAGGAAACAAATATACATATGTGTATAATTCCATATTTTTAAAATCTAGTTTGCACTCAAAAATGAGATGTCTAGACATTTTATGTAAAATACTATAGTTTTATATCTTTTGAATAAATAATGGTATACTTAGTAATATTTCATACTTTTCTTTAAATGTGCCTTTTATAAAAATCAGGAGTCAAATGATTAAAATTCAATTTTAAATTTTTACATTGATCTACTTTGTAATTTTTCATATTGTCAGTGGCATAATATATTCACTTTCAAATCTTATTTAAGCAACAAAATATTTTTGCTGAATATTTTAAATTGCGAGGTTGATTTTTGATTCTTTATTAAAAATTGTGACTCTATATCTCTGAAAATGTAGACCCCTCAGCCAAATTGCCTGGCTTTTAATTTTACTTCCTCTGATTAAAAGGATATATGATTTGGATCAAGTTAATTAACCTCCCCATATCCAGGTTTCCTCATGGGAGTCATGCAGGTGATAAAAATAATTATGTAATATTGAAAAAGTTGGCTCTGAAAATAAAGTGGCAAAATGTTAACAAAAATTACCAGAAAGAAATAACAAGTCCCATGGTTTTGCTTTGGGAAATAAAAAGTAAAATAAAGATACCTATCTCTAGAATTCTTGACTTAGGACCAAAATCCAAAATGGGACTCAAAGCAAGTTGTAAAGGGTGTACACTAATCAAGATGGAAAAAAAAAATAAAACAAAATGTTATTATATTTCAATGTTAGGTGAAGATTTGGACGTAAAATTAGTTGACTTGGTCACATAATACAGAAAAGTAGTAATATATCAGGTCCCAAGTAGAGACTACAGAAAGTAAAAGAATATTGTATTAGAAGGCATAAATTTTAACATAATGAATTAGAATTCACCCTGGAAAGCAGGTTATATTACATTGGATGAACTCCACCAAATGATGATTTACCACCACCACTACCACTTTCCCCCTGCTGCCAAATTACAGTATCTCAACTCATTGAATTTTTATTTTTTATTTATTGCCCAATTAACGGAGTACCAGCCTCAATATATGATTTTGTGGTCTTCTTGGTTGTTGACATCCAGAAGGCAATCTGTGAAAGAGAGAGGATCTTACAGAGAACATCTGGTAGTGGCTCATACTACTTCTACTCCCTGTGCATCAGATCGGATTCTACCAATGGCACCAACTAAGTTGCAAGGCAGATGGGAAACACAGTTTAGCTTTTTTACCCAAAAAGAAGAGGGACTGGGTATGGTCAAAAGCTAGCAATCTTCTATGGTTGGTGAGTTTAAAGAGCAGGAGGCATATAGATGGTAAGAATACAGATGGAAAGAAAGAGGTTTCAGAGGAGAATAATAAGTAGCAAGACATCACAGTGAGTTAAAGACAGGAGAAAAAGTAAAGAAATAGTGGTTAGCATTGTAAAAGTTATTAGGGAAGTCAGAGACTAAGTATTTGGGGAAGTTACCTAGATTCAGATTGTAGAACCCTTAACTGAAAATGGAAAGTGAAATCAGGGAATTAAGGGAAAAGTTGACTTTTGTACATAAAAATATGGAAATGATGAAACATGGTAACTGGTCATGCCATGTAGAAGTATAGTGAATTGTATTTACTGTCATCTTTATTTTATAGATTAGCAGAAAATTTGAACTAACAAATTTTAAATTTTAAAGTTAACATAGAAATTGCTATGCAACAGAAAATCTTTTTATATGTATATCTAAATTAATTTTTATTTTTATTAGTTAATACTTATTGTAGTTTTTTCTAATTATTGCTTCTCTCTTTCTTATCTAAAGTCCTCACTAGTTATTAATTAGAATTGCATTTGACATTCAGGTAGAATTTTGTACCTAAGGATCTGAAACAAACCTAGAGTTTTTAGTATATTTAAAGTATTTTACACAAGTCTAATTTTAAATATATATGTATATAATCATCAAGTTCAATTCTTTTATTCATTAGAGCAGAATTCATGGAATTATGCTTCATGGGCCAAATTCATGCAACTTCCTTTTATATGTTTAGTTAGTAAACCCAGAACTGTCATTGCATTTTTAAATATTTTTATTTACATTTTAAAATAGGTACATTCAAAATATCATTAGTTTTATCTCTTGCCTCACAAAACCTAAAATATAGACCATCTTAGTCCATTTTCTGTTGCTATAACTGAGTACCACAGAACAAGCACTTCTTTTACCATATGATTCTAGAGTCTGGGAACTAGTTTTCAACAAATTAATTTGGTGGAGGAGTTGGGGACAGTAAACCATAGTATTGACTACCTGTTCTTTCATGAATTTGCTGGGCTCTGCTTAAGAAATTTTATTATCTATAATAACAAGTAAGAAGTATATTGTTTTATCTATCCTATATTTTGAATTTTTAAATTTTCTGGTATTTTTATTGGTTTCAAAAAGATGGCCCAATATCAGAAAAGAAAAAAAAACATGAAATTATTGTTTGCTTCATACCTTACTGAAAAAAAAATCAAGTACTGTTCTTTGTGGATACAGAAATAGTCTTAGGGGGTTTTCTTTCTTTCTTTTTTTTTTATTAGTTACACATGACAGTACAATGGTCTTGACATATCATGCATTTGAATCAAATGGGGTATAATTTCTCATTACTCTGAGTGTACAGGTTGCAGAATCACAATGGTCATACAGTCATGTATATACATACAGCAATACTAGTGTCTATTTTATTCTGCTGTCCTTCCCTTTCCCCCTTCCTCTTGCCTCTCCTCCCATCACTTCTCTCTACCCAATCTAATGTGACACACTTCTTTTTTTTTATTCATCTGATTGAATTTCACTAATATGCCCTTGTTAATATAGTTGCTCATATATTTGGAGTTGGAAGAAAAGGAAATATTCTATTTTTGAGCTTTTTGGTCTTATGGAGTTATTTGTCAGTCTTTTCCTCAGTATGCCTGGTTGTGTCACCTGGATTTCCATGTATTCCATTAAAAGTAGTCACTTTTGCTTTTGTTATGGTCTCAGATATTTGATATTCTCTCACAGCTTCCAAGATTATTTTGTTTCTGATTTGAGTATGGAAGAAATATTCCAATCATAAAGTACATTCTCCTTTCCTGTCTTCTGTATTCTAGAACAACATCACATTGAAAGAAGATATCATTATCTGATTGGAGTAATTAAGATGCAGTATCATGTGATATAGATTAGAGTATGCAAATGATTGCACAATCAAAGAGGGTTTTTTAAATTATAATCTAAAGAAAAACGTTTCATGGACACAGTCCATGTTATGTTTCTTTCTTTTCTTTCTTTTGTTTTTTTTCAAGACATATGCTTCCCATTTCAAATCACAGCACAGCAAAATGAAGTCAGTATAATGATTCAGTTAGTAATGTAGCCACTGTGGGACTTGGCATCACCAGATCTCCTGATTTGCTGATTGTTTATAAAATCAGTTGAGAACATTCAGCCTTTGTTAGAAAATGCAAGTAGCCCATGATGAATTTCATGGCTTATCCATTATTGCTTTTTTTAGAAGAAAAGGAATGGTTGGTTCTCCTGTCTTTTCTACCCCCACCCCTTTTTTTTCTTTGTATTAAAGTATTTGTTTAGGTTTAAATCACTTCACTAAAAAACATTCATCTAGAAAGAAAAATACCATTTTCTGAATACATTAGGAAAAACAAGGTAGAAAGAGAGACAAAGAATTTGATCAGTGGTCAGGTTCTTGGAGATGCTTCATAAATTCAGTACAAAAATCACCTGACTGTAGTCAATAATGCTTACCTTTGTTGAGAGACTACGCTAAGCCTTCCCAAGTTCTAATTGAGAAAGTTATCTGTATCATTCTTTTCTGATAAAGAGATAATTTAGTAGATTAATGATAATAACATACAATGCCCATGTTGGTCATATATTAATGTTAGAAATGTGGCATCTTAGAACTTTCTGATCATGAGCACCTAAGATTTGGACCTTTTCACAGGAAGAACATCACTTAAGCTTTGCAATTTCATTGTTTAACCATTCCAGTATCCTTCTCTGTAAATGGCAATAGTAATTATTTCCAGAGTTCTTTTGAGGAAAATACTTTGCATGATTGCATGCAAAAAAAAAATATTAAAAATCAGAAGTTTCTTCATTCCATCCTTCCAACATACATGTCTTATAAGCACACACAAATAGGTTCACACTCACTTATTTTTTAATAAAATATGGATTAACTTGTAAATACTCAGTAAAATTATCTGTATTTCTAATTATTGATAACTGTAACATCAAAGAAATTTGATTGCAAAACATATCATTGGAATATTAAATATGTTATGAAATGTAATTTTAAAATTCCAGAGTGGAGAAAAGCTGGGACCTCATAACTCTGTTTCACTTGCAGTGTTCTCTCCATCCAGAATACTGTTTTCTCCCCTCTCTTACCCTTTTTTTTTTCAACTTCACCATCTAAATAGGCTAATCCCAACCTATCTTTGAAGATTTTCTCCTTAATCTTCTCTACTAAGAAGCCATCCTTTGCTCCTGCCCCCAGCAGCCAGCAGCCAATCCACATGATGCTTGCTTTGATTCACCTCTCATGTCTCCATTCTTTTTTTTTTGGCACCAAGGATTCAACTCAGGGGCACTCGAACACAGTGGCACATCCTCAGCCCTATTTTGTATTTTATTTAGAGACAGGATCTCACTGAATTGCTTAGCGCCTCACTGTTTCTGAGGCTGGCTTTGAACTTGCCATTCTCCTTTCTCAAAATCCTGAGCCACTGGGATTACAGGAGTGCACCACCAGGCTGTCAGCTGCCTGCCTGGCTCCATCATTATTCTTAAAAGTAATAACATTTGATAAATGTGAATTCTTGAGACAAATCTGAATGATCTGTCTTTGATTCTGCTATATCTTTGACAGAGTGAACTTTGCAAACATTGAATAAGAATCATTTGAATGGAGGTGTTAACATACCATTCACACTCTGTTTTTGCTTTGTGAAGTATGAATGTGTATAACCAACAGGATAAGATGTCCCTTTTTTGTTGTTATTGATAACAGAGGTATTATTTAGGAAAATTCCTGTTTATTTTTGTATATTTTGTCCAATTAAATAGGAACTAATACAAATTTTAAACACGACAATGAAAGTTTCTCCCAAATTATTGATTTATTCTCTGCTTGAAAATGTTAGTTAAAAATATTCATCTCTTATTTTCTTATTTTATATCACAACATATATTAAGAATTTAATCTGCAGTACTATAAAGAAAAACAGTTGTATTTCTCAGTAATTTTCAAATATAACTATTTTGTGGACATAAATTTAAAATATTTGCCATTTTTTATTCTGACTTTGAAAATTTGACCTGTTTTAAGATTTTAAAAAGTCAAAGAATATAGATTTAAAACAAATGCTTAGCCTGATGCATTCTATTTTTCTGTCTTTAAATAATCTCTCTTATCTTTTTCTCTCTCTGCATCTCCTCATTCCTTCATCCCACTCTTTCTCAGTCGATTTCTGCCTAAAGAACACTAGCTACAACACTTCTTCACAACAGGCTACCTTACATCAAATTTATAAGCTAAAAATAATGTCTTTGAACTAAGATATACTACCACTAAGGTATGATTGGAAATGATTGTGTATTTGCAAAGTCACTGGTTATGCCAAATTCCAAGTTCAACAGTGTGAATATAATTATTTTATGTTACAAAATATGTGCTGGACAGTTTATTCTGTATTTGTAGGAAAAGGAAATAATTGTTATCAAAAACCAAAACTCACATATTTTTTATACCCTACTTCCCATTTGCAATCAATAACTTGCTAATAGAAGTTAATATTTAATTGGCTAGGTACGAAAAGAGTATGGGAAATGCCTGCGAACACATTGTTGTAGTGGCAAAAGTACAGAGAGTTCCATTGGCTCAGGGAAAACTTCTGGTTCTAGAACTCCTGGACGCTACTCTACAGGCTCACAGGTAAATGATGTTTGTCCTCTGAAATTTAATATTCCTTATGTGTAGTCTGTTATCGCTGTTCTTTCCTATCCCAAATATTGATCACATCAAATGTGATGTTGTTTTCATGTGATTGGCATGAAAATGAAATTGACAGAAACTGAAGGAAGCAAAATTGTAATGAAATTCAAGGTCTAAGGTTATGTAACAAATAATTTCCTCAAATTTTTTTCTAGTTGAATGAGTGTCATAGGTGAAGAAATGAATTTCCTATTTGATCCATAACTCAAAATATTCTCTGTGTGTGTGCGTATGTGTGTGTATATATATATATATATATAATTTGTGACCTTATTATTAGTTCTCTAGCAGATAAAATAATTCTTTATCACATACTGAAATAATTTACATATAAAATTATATGTTTAAGTAAAAAAACTATTATAATTCCTACCATATTTTTGTGCTGACAAGTTGAGGAAAACCTCAGGAGTGGAGAACTTAGGACACATCATCAAAATAACTGGTCTGTTTCCATCAGCTCAGCACCGAACATAACTATATAGAGTCCCTTATCAGGGAAATTGTAAACCCTTAGGTAAACTGTTGGCCATTTTTACCAGGCTACAATTTCATCCCAAAGATAGTTACATAGAAATTTCAGCATCTTTGATGCTAAAATGAGCCAGTTATAAAAGACAGGATTGTGTGGGTATGAGCAAGTTTGAATTCAGATAATCAGACTAATCGTTTTGTGACTGCTTGTCTCAGTAGGGAAAAAACCCACTGTTTTTAGTGTCATCAGTTGAATTCTGAGTAAGGCTTGATTAAGTTGATAAAGTTATAAATCTCAGATTAATTTTTCTTGACTCTTACCTCAACCTATAAATCTAATTATTTTTCAAAATGATTAGCCCTGGAACAACTCTCATAATTCAATGATAATAAACATTGTTTCCATAAACACTTTTCTGAAATTTAATGAAGTTCTCCTTTATCTATAAATGAAATCATGTATCTAATGTCAATATAATACACTTCCAACTAAAGTTTTAGTAACTCATATTTAATTGTCAAACATATAAGATTATTTTAAATAACTTATCAACCACAAATAATGAAAATTATTACTAAATATAACAAATAGGTATTAAAATCTGCATTTGGTTTGTCACTTCTATATTTTACTGAGGTTGCACAGTTGCATATTAGGGGAACCAGATATACTCTTCAAGTGGGCAGAGTTTTCTAAGCCTAAAACTTCTTAATTTGCCAATTTGCCTAAGAATGGTGGGAACTCCAGAGCATGCTTCCAGCAAAAGCTCCTTTGTGTAATCAAGGCCTTTATTTCAAACTTGTCATCCCTCTCCCCACCTCTCCTTTTTGTGATAATATTTTGACAACTTTTAAATTGAAATTACTGAGATTTTGCATATTGTCCACCTGATTATGTTAATAGGCAAAAAGCATTCATTGAACTCACTTGCTATAGTCATTTTGTAGACAAAAGTCATTACTGAAAGAATATTTGGCAGTTTCAGTTATTAAGTTACAACAGAATTATACAATATTTAGTAATACTTCTAGTTTAGGAGATAAAGCAGTGAAGCTTAATAAAATATTGATAAACTTTACGGGTGGGTTCACTTTTGTTTGAATCCTAGCCTTACCATGTGCCAGCTATGACAGAACAAGTTTTAATCTCATTGACTGAAAGTATTTCATTTGTAAAGTAATGATAATAATACTAATTTCTTCAGTTAGAATGATTGAGTTAATGTATACAGAATGCTTAGATTGTAGGTGCTCAATATATGGTAGCTGCTACCATTCATTAGTGCAATTACAGAATATAACATCATATATATTTATATATTTTATATATATTTATATTCATAAACTGTATACATTTTAAAATTATATCATTTATTTCTTCACCATTATAGTTTGTAACATCATAATTATATTCCTGGGGGAAAAACTTACATTATTTTCTTATACTTAGGATACTGATTCTGATCAATATGCCAGTATAGGCCTCTATAAAATGATAGTCACTTAGATTCTGTCATTGAGTTAGATAAAACTAATAAAATATGTTTCTCATTAATTGTGATTTTCCATAAGCAAAGGCTAATGTATTCACTGATATTAAGGCAAAAAATTGGGGAGCATGGATGCTTTTTTATATCACAGAACTTCTAAAATAAAAATCCTTATGTATTTCACATTTTTATTTAGAAATATTGAGAACTTCCTATATAATACCAGCTAGTCTTTTCAGGGGATAACCTCCCTATAATCACTAGCTTTGATCGTAGTAGTAGGAGAATTTATCAGATAGTGAAAACTGGTATAGAAGCAACATACTGTGATGGAAAGTATTCAAGGGACTACTTGGGCTTTCAAAGACTGTCTTTGGATGTAATAATTATGCCAGTGCTGAATGACAATATTCTAAATGAGAGGAAGAAAGGAATTTCAGGTGAAAGCAATTTCAGATGAGAAAACAGCTATTGGAAAGCCTTTAAGACAGGGGAAACTTAAAAATTCAGGAACAGAAGGAATCCTATTAGGCAAAGTAAAGACATTCTTTAAGAGAAGAATGTAGTCACATTAGAGAGACAATTGCAGAAGTCAGAGGAAAAGGGAGGAGATAGATCCCTATAGTATTTGTAGGAGTAAATGGATTTAGATTTTGTTTGGATTGCTTTGGAAAGTCAATGGGATGATTTAGACAAGGAAGAGACAGGGTATCATGCACAGGTAATCAAGATCATGTGATAGCTATCTAGATACTAGAATGACATGATTGGCAAAACTAAGGAATTGAAAATTGACTCCATATGTTGGTGCTCTATCCTTCCTTCCTTCCTGGTACTAATCACTTATAAATGATGATCATTTCCCAAAGAATGCAAATGTAAGCGCACAGAAATAAGTACAGATTTTTTTTAAACTGTGGACTGAAAGATTTTTTCTTCCCTCTTTTGTATACCTCTAATTGTTCTGTCATTTATCCTTCATTTATTTTGTTGACTTTTTAGGTGTATTTACTTTTACATAATATTTTTTTAAAAAAATAACGTATTTAACGTGTGAAATTGTGAAGCATATTAAGATAATGAAGAACTGTGAACTCAATATCCAATTTAAGGAACAGAATTTTTTCTTCTTTATTTAACCTCTTCCTAACTGATCTGTATATGGCCCTACAGAAGCTTCCTAAATTTTGTTCTATAGTTTTCTTGACTTATAGTAGTAGTTTTTCCCCCTCCAAAAAATATTTTTTTTAGTATTCCTTTGTTAATATTTCTGGTAAAATGATATTATCCATATCTTTAGGGATTTCTTTCACTGAAGAAATCTCTTAAGATTTGTCATTTTTTAATGAGTTTTGGTATATTTTGTTTTGTGTGTCTGTGTGTATGTGTGTGTCATCAGTGACACAGTGGAAATGTGATTAGATATTCAACAGTATTTCTAAATACTTCTGAATACATTTCAAGATTTATAAAAACAACTATAATATTCTAAGATTAACTACTGTTACTGTTTATGAAGTTAAAACATGGAACATAACCCATTTCTGAGTTGATTTCAACCTTATTTGTAGCAATGTTACTTACAAACTATTTCATTCTTGGAAAAACCTTCTGAAATATTTTGTTTCTTCCTCCAAAGTTTTTGATCCCTAATTCAATAAGATGGCAAAACAGAAAAAAAAAATTTCTTCAAAATGTAATATTACAATATTGTCAGAAATTATCTGACATGTAAATTTGAATTTGAGATAATAATGATGGAAATAATTAAATAATAATGGAAGAAATTTTAGTTATTTATAAAACTTCCTACTCTGAAGCATTGAATAGAGATGAATTGATACCTTTATCTCCTTCAAAAGAAAAGGCAGGATAGTATGTAATCTCTAAAATTGCATAGGTTTTCTTAGAGTAGTTATGGAAAATGTAAACTCAATAGAATTTTAATAATATTTTGTTCTTACCAGTGTCATTCTTGCAAGACTGAATTTTTAAACTAAACTTTTGTTAATAATCTGACAACTTAATACATATTTAAGCATTCACATCCCAGTGAAAGTTATATTGCGCCCAATGTGGTGGCACATACCTGTAATTCCAGTGAATTGGGAGGTTGAGGCAGGAGGAAAGTTCAAGGCCCGTTTCAATTTAGCAAGGCCCTAAATAACTTAGTAAGACCCTGTCTCAAAATAAAAAAAAATCGAAAGTGCTGGGAATGTGGCTCAGTGGGTAAGTGCTTCTGGGTTCAATCCTTGATTTAAAAAAAAAAAAAGTTGAAATGAAAATAATTTGTTTTACTTTGGAAACTAAAATTTTAAATTTTCTAATTCTGTGTATAGTATTCTATATAACCTAAAATATATGAATTGGTATAGTGCTTTACATTTATTCCTTTTTCACAGCCAGGTAGTGTCATTAATTTTATTTGTGATATTCTCATGTGACTATGCTATAAGCAGGTAGACATCATTTATTTTCTAGATGCTAGAAACAAAGGTCTCATATAACTGTGAGAGAATGATTTATGTGAAAACTCACAGCCTCATGAGTTTGTTTGTTTTCTTCCTTTTCTCCATTCAGAGCCGAATTCGTAGAATGTGGAATGATACGGTCCGAAAACAGTCAGAGTCGTCATTTATTACTGGAGATATAAACAGTTCGGCATCACTCAACAGAGGTAATTAGAAATGTTTTTTTATATTTATTACTCCTCGGATTACTTTAAAAAGTTTTCAAATGCATTGCTTTATTTGCAAGTTCTAAACCTCATTCCCTTTGGTAGGAATAGTGTAAAACCTGGTTGATTGTAGCAGTGTGTTCCATTATTCATATGCCTGTTTTTTAAATCCTGAATTTTCAGGAAATTTTTTCCAAATGGAAGTTAGATAACGAGAAACTTCTTTTTCCAGTTATCTGCCACTGTTATAAACTGGTGAGCTGTCAGGCCTCATTGAAAGCAGTTGAAATGGGCAATTATGTGGTATATAGTCTGCTAAGCATCATAGAATTCCACATTGTCCCAGGTATAAAGCAATTTCATAGTCCTTGTGGAAGTAAAAATATACTGTCTAATACATACTTAAGGAAACCTGTGTACTTGTGAGGAGAAAATCACATGTAATCCTTATACCTAAAAGACTTATTCAGATAATATTGAACATTTTAAGGTCTAAGAAAGCTACTTTTATGTAAATCATGATTTTTTTTTTATGTGTGTTTATGTACTTCTGGTTAAAATGCTCTCTGGACATCAACATCATTTATATTTTTGAAATGAAGTTCTCTTGATGTACTATTTTATTTGTGATGGGTTCTCTTTCTTTCTCTTTTTCACACTGAGTGACAGAAATATTAGAAATAATTTCACTGAAATAAAAATGGCTAGATACAACATTTGTGCAATCAGTGCTGGAAACTATTAAGAATATAGTTTATTGGTAGAATGTGGTATTTGTATGAACTTAGTTATTTTTAAGGTCAACATTGTTATTTTTTCTTACCCCTAAACTAGAATTATTAATCTGTTTTTAACCTGTTTCTGCCTGCTTTTTGTTACACAAATAATGAAATATTTATTGCTTATGATTAAGAAAGATTTATATGCCAGTACTCTTAATTTCTTTTACTCAAGTAATTTGCATCTTATTTATAGACAGAGATTAGGACAAGTAGTGTTCAAACTGAATTTGATATAGGGATTCACACTTTAATATATCTCATTGAGTTTCATATGCTGTTGGGTGCAAGGTTGTAGTAACTATAATCTAGTTGTGATTTTAAATTATCTACATTAAGTTAAGTAAGAATAGTGAGAGGGAAAATTCCTTCAAATAGAGAAAAATATATTAAAACAGCTACCTTTTTTTTTTTTCAAAACAACTACCTTCTTCTTTTCTTTGTTGGAATTTACTGGATGATATACATTTAGACAATCTCAAGTTTTTTTATATAGATAATCTTCTCTTTTTGATTTAGTTTTATTCTGTAGTTTGTGAAATTTATCGAAATGTGAGTACTCTATTTTTTTAATTTACTTTTCAAATCACAGTTAGTTTTCCTAGAAAGAAAATTATCCTTATCAATAGGATTTGTCATAAGGTATATTTTGCATCTGTTAATCACAGCATCCATGGAATAGTTGCTATTGTTTAAAGAAGGGATGAGATGACTGTAACAATATACTGTTTCTTTACTTATTGTAAGGATGGATATAATATGTAAAATTATTATTTTGTCCAGTATTATTACTAAAATGTATATAAAGTTAGTTAAAACCTTTTTTTTAAGTGGACCATTTTTATGAACTTCAAACTCAAGCACATTTTGTAATGTTATTGATTAACTCCTTACTTCAATTTCTTCTCAATAATGTCACCTACCGGGAATATAATAATATGTGTATGACTGAGTCAATTTGAAATGAATTGAAAGAAAATAATAACATTTCATATGGACTGATAATATGTCTAGGTCTGTAAACTAAGGTCAGTAATTTTAAAAGATAGTTCTTAAAGCTATTAAATGCAGGATATAAAATTTCTGTGACTTTGAAGAAGTTATGTTGACGAAGACTTTGGGGAGGAGGTTAAATTGAATGCATGATTTGAAGTGTGTCCAAGCAGTGATCTTTTTCATCATGATATGTACTCTTCCTTTCACTTAGTGACTTTAATGGTGCCAGAGATCATAGTGATCTTCATTCCCTGAATTAATTTCCTAGCCCCACTCCAGGTCCAGAAACTCCTGGTTATATTTTCATCTCAATTTTTACCTTAGTTGATTAAAGTACTTTAAAATTTTATTTCTTCATATTATGTCTCTGAAGATAGCCTTTAACCTCCTTCTTTAATCTTGTCTTATTCCCCAGGGCCCTATCTTCCCTGCATTCAGGCGTGTGTATCATATTTAGGTAGGTGGCATCCAAGATTCATCTTTCCAGATAAACACTTCAGTCACCTCAGCAACATAATTATTCACTTGTGTTTATTCAAAAGATTATATTCTCTATTATTTAAAAAAGATCTTAGATACCTCATCTTTGCATCCTCATATATTCTAACTTCCCATTCATTCTTAGTTACAGTTAGCAATTTTTTTAAAAAATAAAACTCCATTTTTGTTCTTTCTAAGTTAGAAATATAATATCTCTTATTTTTTTCTTTAAAATAGTGCTGACTCTTGGAAATTACAGCTATTGCCTAACATTGTTTTTCTTATTTTTAATTTAGGTTTTCTTACTTATTTACACCATTGGCCAATACATTTTAAAAGAGTATTATTTTAAATTTTGTATGTCTTCTCATCTGTTATTCCAAGTAAGAATCAGCAGCTACCATCTTTAGGATCCATTAAGAGCAAAGAATCTACCATTCAATGTAGAACAACTTCTGTTTTTTTATTTTTAAACTATCTTTTATACTCTGTTCTTGAAATGCATCATTCCACCATATATATCAGATTACCTTTCTAGATTCCCAATATAATAAAAATGATTACTATTGGGGTTTTATTTATTAGAATCATGTGAAACCTTGGAGGATTTACTGATAATTTTCAATGAGTGTACTAATTCTTTTATATTCTTTTGAGAATTCATTGTTTGGTCACACTCATCTTTTTAAAACCTTCTATTCAATCTGTACTGAATATGTGTTTTTATGAGGATATTTCCCCAACTGTTTCCTAAACCTTTTAAAATATTTTGTCTCTGCAAGTTGTTTGGTATGATGTCATACACTCAGGCAAATCCAGAATTCCTTGAAGCCAGTGCTATAACAATTAAATATCACTCACATTACTTATGGAGTAGAAGGGACTTTAGAAGAGCTATAAGGTCATGGTTGAATACAGAGTCTCATGGTTAATTTTAAGCTATACCAAGTTTTTACAAGCTTGTAGGTGTAAAGGAGGTTTTATTCATTCATTTATTTAAGTATTTATTATTTTATACATGCCTTGAAGATTTAGTCAATATTCAACCCCCAACTCCTCCAGGGCTATTAAAAATCTAATTAAAATCTCTACTAGCTCCAACATCCTGGTAGTGGTGAGAAGGACTTAGAGTACTCTTTCTACCCATCTCTCCTGATCATAATCTCTGCTACACAAACCTCATCTTAAACCGTTTAGATTCACAATGCCTCTTTTAAAAGTTGAGTTTGATCCAAAAATTAACCTTTGCTGAGAAATTTGTCTAGCAGTACATACAAACATCTTCATTTTTGCCTTCCTTAGATCTATATAAAAATCAGAATATCTTCTGAAATTAGATGTTATTGGACATCACAAATATTATAATGGCATTTACCATTTTCTTTTTAATTATTGAGATTGAGAGCAGAATTTTTTTCCAATCAAGTTTAAGAAACTGCTGCCAATGGGGTATTTTTATGTGAGTTATCAAAAGTTACTTTAATGCTCATCCCAGTTATGAGTTACTGCAAAGTTGTGTTCCTTCTAAGTGATATAATTAGTGAAAAAGTCACTTCTGGAATAAATAAATTTTGCCTAGAATCATGGGGTTTTATTTCCCTCTAAACTTCCAACCTCTATTTTGTCAACCTGCCACATGAATTAATGTGATATAAATTTTTAGTAATGGAGAGTTGGACCAGTAAGACTATATTTATTTAAGCCATATTTAAGTGTTATGGTTCAGAAGACTGATCTATAGATATTTAGCACTTATTTATAAATACAGATGATTTTCTTTTAAGTGTTCAGAGTTGTATTAATCTGCACAACATTTTCACTGAATTTGTAGTCAGTAAAATTATGATGACCTCTGATGATGCATATATTTTCATAGATTTTTGTTTTTTTAAAGGGTAAATTTTGGCTCTCATTTAGTTTGTATCAGAACTACCCATTGAAAGGCTACCTTATTGGTTTGGGGCATTGTTTTAACAAAGCGGGAAAACTCTGCCATCAAATATACATTTGCAAGTAGCTGACTTACTCATTATAGTTTCACCTAGTAGTTTTATAAACAGACATTGAGTTCTAATCCAGTGACAGTTTCCAAATTGCTTAACTTCTCAGGGCTTCTGCAATAGCGATATAAATGGTTCCCACTTCAGAAGGTCCTTGAGAGGAATATATAAGTTAATATATGTAAATTGTTTACAATGGCATCAAGAACATAATAAGCACTATTATTATTACTACTTTATTCAGAGATATCATATTATTATATTTTCTAATAAATGAAAACTTTTCCTTGACAGGGCTCTCAAATAATCAGATATTAAAATTCATCATTTACTACTAAAAGTTTCCTTTCCTTTTTATTTTCCAGCAATAGGTGGGAGAAATGAGGAGGTTACCTGAGTGCCAAGTAAAACAAATAATAATTCACCTAAGACGGTGCTGCCCTTGAGGCTAACAAAGAAGAAAGCTAATAAAACTGAATTGTCTCTTCTCAATTAGAAATTAAATGCAAATTACATCTGCCTATTTGTACTTTCCTCTTTTGATTTGCAACCCTACTCTAGTGTCAAAGAAATAAAGATAATATATTTCTTTTTTTTATTCCTTAGATGATGACTTAACAAACCCCGTCTTCTCTTTTATTCCAAATACTATCCTATCCCTCCAAAACTTAGATAACACCAGTTCAATTCAGACAGTCCTGCTAAATAACAAGTTATGTAGCAGAACTGGGATATGACTAGACCT